CCCCTTTTTTTTTTTTTTTTTTTTCCTTTTCTTGATGATCAATTTAGAAATCGAACAAAAACCGCGTGGGCAAGGAGAATAAGGACTAGCCCATTAGCCACGGTCCCACCGCCCCCATCAATGTGTGTGATTGGGTGAGGAAATGTCTTCTTCCAATCTATGGAATCCTTAGATAAAAGCAACCTAACCAAATCTGGTCACCAATTTGACCAGATTTGGATTCTAGAAGTATATTTAACGTGCTTAAGAACATACAAAATAAACTTTACGAATTAAGTGTTGAAATGTTTAAGTGGAAAAGAATCCTCGCATCCTTAGACTAAGGCGAAAGATCATGAACTTAAATAGTTGGATGAATGCTGATTCGCTGTTTAGCCCAAGGAGAGGGAATGAAACAAGAACAATGCTACTCATACATAATGGAGTATATAATGATTTGCATACAGACAATGTGTCAAAAAGATAGTGAAGAATTTTTATTTTTTTTTATTATTTGATTGAAGAAATTTTGACTCAATCATATCTTACTATACCACATGTACGTAAATCATTATGCACATGTAGCATAATAAAACAATGATCGGGGGTGGAAGGGATAATAGACCCCCCAAGAAAATCCAACAGTCGTGAAACCTCGTAGCGAATCATGACTACATTGAATTAAAGATAGAGAAGTGCGACAAAATTTATAAAGTTTTTCTATCTATCAAATAATGTTCGCTTCAGTGTACCATATGTGCCCTAAATAATCCTTTAGAGCTTACGGTCACAGCAATGATCTATGCAATCTATTTTTCAGAAAGAATGGGCATAAGTTGTATTTATTGAAGAATCCATGAACCTGAGAGTGACAACTGAAAAGATATACAAAGTAATGAACCCAATCTCCAAAGTGGACCCATAATGCCATTCTCAAACAGTTGGGAATTTTCCAGTGGCCACAACAGCCAAGAATCTGCTTGCACATTTCTTCTTTGCAGATATGAAAAAATTTGGGCACTGCAAAGGATTATAAATATTCTTGCAGCCACTTTTACTCGGAAAAGGAAGCAACAGATCCACACTAATGAAACAGTCACCTGATTAAATTGCTGCTGCACAAAGAAGAAAAAAGAAAAACGAAAAAAAAAAGGTCAGTGGAAAAGTTCGGAGATGAAAATCCTGCAGTACAAGAGTGTAAACCTGTTACAACTATTTTGCCATGCAGAAATTTCGAAACAGAAAGTCATTTCAACAGGTTAGGCCTAAAAGAGTTCTTAGGGTAGAGAGAGGAGAAAATTCGGTGCACTAGCACACACTTTTAGAGATAAAAATCACCACCGGATCAAGTGTTCAGTTGATACTGTAAAGTTTTAAAGAGAAATTCAAACATAAAAGTTTCTTCTGTATGGAATTTCAAATGGTTGTTGTAACTAGAGATAATCCTAATATGGATAGATCAATAGAAATTAATAACTTTCCACCAGGTTTCCCATCCCACCATCAAGGTTTAAAAGAAGGGTCGCCATCATGAGCAAATGGATGTGTCGTTATAAGGTTTATGTAGTGAGAAGCAAAGAATTCTACACAGATTAGTCCTTACTTTAAGTTGGCAGCAGAGACATCTGAATCTGGTCCTCAAAAACCGCACTGGTTAAATCTGAATTTTGCAAAGAATCTTTCCTAACATGCTCCAGAGATGTAGCTTCGTATACGCCTGGACAACAAAACTTATACAATGTTATACCACAATCGCACCATTCTCAGTCTATCATGGAAATGATGCATGAAATGTAAATCCATTCAAGACCATTTTGCTCCCCAAGCACCATAGAAAAGGGAGACAAAGTATAAAGAAGATTCACATACACGTTTTAACTATTTTACATCACAGATATGGCAAATCCTTTTCTTCCGGACATCAGTCCCCCGGTGCCTCAACCTCTAAAGGTATGTTAGTTAACGTGCATGACAACAAATGAGTAAACTTCCTTTTTTATAAGCACATTTTAAGTCCCCCGGTGCCTCTAAAGGTATGTTAGTTAATGTGCATGACAACAAATGAGTTAACATCTTTTTTTATAAGCACATTTTAAGCTTAGCCAAACTGATAGGACTCTGCTGGAAGAAAATAGCAACTGAGAAATATCATTGAGTTCTGAATGGAATTACATTGAAATGCTAAACAGAACAATGGTAACTAGAGTCTCTTTTACTCTCCGCTATTCCCCCTTATATGGCTATTCTCAACCCACATTTATAGCAGACTACTAACAGACTTTCCATCACTAATTTTCCCTCTAACAGACTTTAGTTTTCCACCCACTTGCAGATTATTCTTCTCCTGGTTCCTTCTAGAATGAGTGAAGTGGATTGGAGCCTATCAATACCCCCGGTTTCCAAATCCACCTTGTCCTCAAGGTGGGATTCAGGGAAGTATTGGCAAATAGACTTGAATAATTTCATGAAGCTTCATATGCTGGTAAGCCTTTTGGGTCAGATTTTCCCATGAAGCTTTTAACAACAGATTGTGATCCTGAATGCATTGGGCCACTTCCATTAGTTGGCCCAACCCTTTTGGGCACCTGATTTCAGCCCTGATATCTGGTTTTTAACCCATTAACACAAGTGTTTTCCAAGACTTCCTCCAGTGTTTCTCAAAGGTGCAGCCAACACCTCATACTCACACCAGAATTCAGCTACAGTACCACTTTGATTTATTGCCAGGAACTTCTTACAGATACTCCCTTCCTGAGTCAACCGAAGATGCAGCAGGAGTAGCTGCTTGAATTGCTGCCAGTTTTGGAAAGGCATCATCGCCTCTGTCCGCTGGAACCACGTCAAGGCATCTGGATTATCTCTGCTGAACTTGAGCATTTCCAATTTCTGGTTCCTCCAGTTACTTCCTTCTTTGCTCAACATCAGCTGTATCTTCTTCATAGTTTGCTTCGCCAGAACATTCAGGACCCTTTTCACAATCCTGGGTTTTTTTGTCACCCACAGGCCTACTTTGAACGTTTGGACGTGCCGGTCCCTCCGTGATGATTCCAGTTCCTTCACCTTCCAGCATTCTATTCATTGCCGCTTTAGGAAGGGTCATTGATGCCGCAGATTTCTGAACTGTCTCCATTGTTTCGAACATTCTGTCCATATTCCGGCACAAGTGTTCCACAGATCTCTCAAGCCCAAGTAATTGCTGCAATTCCGATTTCAAGTACTCCATCTCCTTTTCCATCACTTCCACTCGGCTTCCTATTTTCCACCCGGTCATTGGATCGAACATACTCTGATACCAATTGATAGGATTCTATTGGAAGAAAATAGCAACTGAGAAATATTACTGAATTCTGAATGGAATTACACTGAAATGCTAAACAGAATAAAAGTAACTATTGATAGACTTCTATCAGCTTCACCTACTCCAGAAGGACCCAGAAGAAGGAATGACCAGCTAGCTTAGGAAAAACAGAATCTGTTGGAGAGCAAGTGGCTGATTGAAATTAGTTAGGCAATAGCTATAAAAAAAGGTAGAAGGGAGGATAGAAGGTAGGTTTTTATGTAGTAAGACCCCAGGAGCTATGATGCTCGAACTTTTCGAAATAGGTAGAGTACCCATGTCGGACATGACACGACATAGGAATAGGTATGGAATATATGTCGGATCCTCCAAATTTCAACCTGACACTTCATTGTTTTTGCTTCTCCTTTCTTCTTTCTTTTTTTCTCTTTTCCTTCAATTTCCCTTTTCTTCTTGCCCGTTTTCGCTTTCTATAAACCTAGCGTCGCCGCCAAGAAGGTAGAGAAGGACAGCAGCATTAGGTTTTCCTTTCTCTTTCTTCTTCTTTCTTTTTTCTTTCCATTTTCTTCATTTTTTTCTTTCTCCCTCTCTCCATAATGGTGGTTTAGGATTTCGTTTGTATAAAATGAAAATGGTTTCCATATATTGCTACTTAGTACTCCACTAGATCCAAATTGCAATCAAATCCCTCATTTTCTATTTTATATAACATTTAGTAATTCTTATGATTGAAAACTAAATCCCAAAATTCTATTTTATTCGTCTTAACCCCTTATTCAATACTCATTTCCTTCTTTGTTATTAATTTATTTTGGTCTATTCAAAATGACATTTTGAATTAGAAAAAATTGAAAAGTTTAAAAGATCTGTATCCGAAATTTGAACTCTTTTTAGTCACATCTCCATATCCTACATTTTAGAAAATAAAAGATCCGACATTTAAATACTTACTCGTACCCGAGTCCGAACATCATAGTCCAGGAGAGTTTAACCCTCTAAGATGGCTACTATTTCTTTTCCAGTTCATTTTCTTCAGTTTTCATCAATCAAACAGTAGTTTATTCTTTGGTTCTGATTTTCTTCTCAAATTAGAGTTAGAACCCTAACAATTGGTATCAGAGCACTCTTTCACGATGGCCCAAAAAAAATAGAAATCAGAGTGGAAGCCATGGAGAAGGAGATGGAAGACCTGGAAAAAAGTTGCAGCGTTTAACAGGGCTTGAGAGATCTGTGGAACAATTAAAACAGAAGGGGGCCAAAATATTCCAAAAAAGTGGAAGCAATTCAGAAGGCTGTGTCATTAATAACCCTCCCTCAATCAGTCACAAACAAAATGGTGGACGGAGAAAACAGAAGTCTCTATGAGTAATTCTTTGCTGTTTGCTAGGAAGAGGAGGCAAAATTTCGACGGTCAATTGAAGTTTTGGCTACGCCATTGTTGGGAATCTCAGAGGAAGGGATAGGGAGTACACTTGTAAATAGGCTCAAACCAGAAATTTGGGTTGCGGTCCATTTACTAAGACCAAGTGGGCTGGGGTCTATTATGAAGGTATCTCGGCACGTAGAAGCCATAAACATGGTGCTCAAATTGGCTAAGGAGCCCATGGGCAACAAATCACCTATACGTACACATGAAATATATATGGACAGAGCAGCAAATCAGTATAAATTTGGAAAATGGGGAGAGAGAAATATTTTGTGGAAAAAAAAAGGCCGTGTCTGAATCTGTCGACTAACATAAGCCTGGAGGGCATTGACACCTCCTCCATCCTCTCTGAAGCCACTTCTACTGTAGCCAAACTCATCGGCAAACCAGAAGCCAATGTGATGATAGAGCAGCTTGCTTCGTGCGGAGAGTTTGTGTCTATTGGAGGACTAAACCCTAATGTCAACAAGAAGCTAAGTGCTGCTGTTTGCACTCCAGAAATAAGAACAGGGAATAGGGCTGAAATACGTCTGTTGCTTCCAAACAGTTTGGGCCAATTAATGAAAGTGAGCAAAAAAGTAGAGGAATGAAAATTAATTACCCAGTCCACTAAGGAATATTCGGCCCAGAAAGGTGTTAAAATGAATTTATCCCCAAATCCAGTAGAAGGCAGAATAGTTGATTCCTGACCTATTAGGTCAGTGATAGTAGGGGAACAATTGACCATGCCACGCAAGGAATTCACCACGAAGCGCATGTCAAATGCGGAGATGGAATAGCTGAAAACTGTGACGTTGGACGAGCACATCGCCAACACTCCCCTGACTCCCACCTTGAGGATAAGGTGGCTTTGGAAATCAAGGGTATTGATAAACTTCAATCAGTTTCACCTATTCTAGAAGGACCCAAAAGAAGGAATGACCAGCTACCTTAGATAAAACAGAATCTATTGGAGGGCTAGTGGTTGAGGAAAATTAGTTAGGCAATAGCTATAAATAATGGTAGAAGGGAGGATAGAAGGCAAGCCTTTATGTAGTGAGAAGTGAGACCCCAGGAGAGTTTAGCCCTCTCGAATGTCAATCAAACAGTAGTTTATTCTCTTGTTTTGATTTCATTCTCAAATTACAGTTAGAACCATAACACAAACATATCGTGGTGCCACAAGAGACCCGAGCTAACACGGCATGCATACCTACTCGCACGACCCATAAGCCTAGCAAGCCTTGCCATAAGCATGCCTGTGAGCACCCCACAGGGAAGATGATTCAACTCAAGACCCAATTTTCATGCATCTGGTGACATTGCCATCAGATCTACCGCTTGTTTTACAACAATATTTTTTATCCTTAATGTTATATTAACTCTGTAGAATTGATCTTCTGTCCTCAATGGATAAGATAAAAACTTCTCACTACTGAAGTGGCAGAGAGAACCGTAAGTATAATTCTCTGAATGTATGAATGTTGCAGATAACCATAAGTAAGATTCTCTTGTCACGTTTGCCACGTCAGCAGTAAGAAGTTTTTATTCTATCCACCGTGAACAGGATATTAGATTTGATTAACATTGCACCATGAAAAAGAGTTCACAATACTGTAGGCATCTACAAGCATTGGAAAACACTTATCTTATATCTTCACCATCTGCAGATAATAACAGATTCCTAATATTACCAAAACGATCAGCTGTAGGTCTCCAAGTTTATTCAGTGCATAAACTGGATGAACCAGGGGAAGTAGAAGACAATCATCTCTGTTTTGGCCTCGTCTCAGCCTAAAAACTTACTTAAAATCACGTATTTTACTAAAACCATCAGATGCAACTACCTGCGCTTTTCAATTTTTCTGAGGCTTCTCTTTTCAGCCTTTGCAAAATGCATTGTCAATTTCTCCTTATCATTTACACATGCAGAAGTCAAGTGACAATGTTACCAATAAGCAATAATAGTTATCCTAGCAGAAAATAGTAAAATTTTAAAAATATATACTAATATTTTAAATATGCAGAAGTCAAGTGACAATGTTACCAATAAGCAATAATAGTTATCCTAGCAGAAAATAGTAAAATTTTAAAAATATATACTAATATTTTAAATGTGTATGTCATTAAAGCCAAAAACACGAAAACATGTTAATGGAAACATCAGAAGTACATTTTAATGAAAACTTTAAAATGCACAAATCATTTTGATAAAATTTTTACAGACAGACTTGGGGCGAATATTCAGTTTCTTTCCAAACATCCATGTTTACTCAAGATATGAATTAAAAGATATGCTTTTATCAAAGCATAACTATATAAAAATTACTTGGAAGCAGTATCAAGCACTAATGACAGTATAATTAAAGGACTGAAAATTCCTAGAAAGAATAGTGGTAAAAAGAAAGTAGCAAATGATCCATGCAGTTGTCACTTAAGACGGCATGTTTAATATAAATCCATCCACAACAGCAGGCCATGAATAACATCCAAAAATAATCAAGATAGAAGCTTATATTCATACCAAAGCCCAAAATGCCAGCACAAACTAGAAAACCAAGCAGGGCAAAATCCATTTTGTACACAATCTCCATGACAATGATACATCCTGCAGCGACCATCAAATGCCTCGGAGAAGAGAAAACCATATGCAATCTGAAAATAAATAATCAATCCAAGAACAGAAAACCACATCAATCGGAAAACACATAATCAGTTCCAACAGATTATGCACTGGTGCTTTATTGGCAATCATGACGTCTTGTCATGTGTAATGTACAATTCTGATATGCAAAATTATAATACAGAACCACTTGTGCAAAGGCTACTTGTCTGCTTCATCAATTTCTTCAACAATAAGCAGGAAAAGAAGCAATACTGAGCTGAAATTAATTCAGGAGTGACGAACAAAAGGAAGAGTAATGATATAGTGAAAAGCACAAAAGAAAAGCATAACATACCATTACATACATGAGTCTAACAAATTAAATTTAAATATCACAGCAGACAAAGCAATTTCTCAATTTTGAGTGGAAACATATTAACAAAGCCTAGCTGATGCTATTATATTGAAACCAAACTGAGTTTACAAATAAGTGATATATAAATATAACAAATTATGGACAAATTAGATCTTTTCTTCTAGTATTCCACTTCAATACCAAGTTCGCAAAGATAATTAGAAATGACTTCCATAAATTTACAATTCATGGGCATCTTCAAATCTTGAAGGCACTGAATTGCTTCCAACTGAAAAAAAATTTGAATTACAGAATTTGCGAGCAGCATAGTCATTCGCCTACATTTTGGAACAACAACTTTGTAGAATAATCAGTACTTTTTTCCAAACGGTCAATTTCTCAAAAAGCCAAATGAGATCATGGCTGATAAATTTGGAACAAAAAATAAAATACAGAAGCATGTAATGGGAACGATTAAGCCCATCGAATATCTACTAAGAGAAGGATTCAAAATTTCAAGTTTCCATCATTAGCAAATTAATTTAAAATGAGCTCAGGGATATACCTCTCTTCAGCAATACTATCAACATAAAATATCAAAATAATTCCAAAAAGGATAGTGCTGGAAAAGGTCCATGCAGAAAATGGCAAATTTACATCCGTTGATCCCTGAAGCATTTCAACATAAGCACAACAAATAAACGAAAACGAGCATCAGTAAAAACCAGGTGAGGAAGGAAGATAATAGAAGAAGATTTCAAGACTAATATTTACAGAACAATACAGGGAGAAAGACATAAAGTCAAACTCACAATGATCATGTCCCACATTGCCACGGGAAACAGAAAACAAGTTGCAGAAGCAATAGTGATGGCATGAAGTCTCCTTTTAAGTTGATTCTGGAATCATAAAAAGGGAGAAGAATATCCAACATCAATTCTTGTTCTTCTTCTTCCTCATGTACATGTGGGTGTTAGGGGGCAGGGGTGTTGATGTTACTGTGGCTTGATTTCTTTAAACCACCACGTAACATAAAAAGACAAGTCAATACCTTAAGTGAGACACGTCGTGTGATCACCCTTCTTAATGCTGATAAGACTCCAGCCAATATAGGAAATAATATGTTCCTAATTCCCAAACCTTCTTCTGTGTACACTTCTGTACCTCCATCATCACTAAATGGTAATTTTGGGTTAAGGTCACCATTTTTTGCATGATGGGTTAATGAAATGTAAGCATAGAAGATAGAAAAGGTGAGGAAACTAAAATTTCTACACCTAACAGTACATGAGATAAATTTACAATTAATAGTAGGTCATAGCTGAAAGGATATAAAACGGTGAATGTGTGGCCATGGCCCACCCTTGAGATAAGAAGTAGAATGATGCTAGCATTGCAGAGAGGCCACCAACCTGATAAAGATGAAAAAAATGGGCAGATGAATAAAATAAAGGGCAAATAGACAGCATAATAGCATTATTTTATTTAAAAGAAAAATGTAACAAATCAGTTATTCCCAGATGCTCATCAGCGGCCAATGGCTAATCTTTGAGCTAGCAAATGCTATTTGTATGTCATTCTGACCATGCTATCAAATTGCCAGAAGTATGTCTTTGAAATGTATGAAGAGTTTCAGAAGAAAGATATTAATGAATTTAAACAAAATGAAATCAGAACCTACTTCACACAAAATTCCAAAATAACATGCGAAGAAGTAATAACTGTGCAACATAAAACAAGATAACTTATCTTGCAGATAACTAGATTCACATCTCCAAGTGAGCTCGAGTAAATTATAAATAGTTGTAAAAGTTTGAATCTATACCAAAGAGTCAAAACTAACCTTTTTCCACATATGTCCACTCCTCCCATACAGTACTCCAGATAACACTCCAAGAACAGCACCAGAATATTCAGCCAATATGACTCTGAATTGAATAAGCATTGCTAATTCAGAACTAGAGGAAACACAAAAACAAACACTTAACAAGTGGAGATAGAACTAAAGAAGGACAATTTTCCATTTCATCCAAAAACTGCAAATTTTTAGCAGTTGTCTTCAATTTAATAGTGTCCTTCAGTTTAAGCCAAAAACATGAAAAGAGGAAAAATTAACAGGATCATGTAGACAGTTGGAGGAATAGATTCTTCTTTGGACTTTATAGTAGATCTCTCTTCTTTGGACCTTGTAGATAGTCTTTGTCCACTAAGAATACTTAATAATAACAACAAAATGTCACATACTTGTCGCCTGTATACATATTACCAATGCATGTGATGGGAATCCAAGTAGATATATTATTTAATTTACTTTTCAAATTAGGTATATATTTTAGGAAACGTAATTATGTCCCTATTTGGTGAAGATTAAAATTAGATTTTAAGTAGATTTTGATAAAAAAATTTGAAATGTGTGGTTGAAAAGTTGGAGAACCCATGAAATGTGTGGTTAATATTGATTGTTTGACTTTGACTTAGATTAAAATTTGATTTAAATCAATACCAAACAAGGGCTGAGGTTTTTTAAATAGATTTTCTAGTATTTATTAGCTAAATTATTTAATCTCGTTCTTGTTTGATTGTATTCTACATCATCATATCTTTAGTACTGCAAATCAATAGGTGTACACGATGATATCCTCAAACCACACCCTTGCTTGCTTCATCAAATCTAAATCTACAGTATTTCAACTCATCACCTGACAAAAGCCTTGTGCTTTATTCATCTTCTAGTATAAATAAGTGAATGCTTAGGATGCTGGATATAAGCACAATTTTCATCATTTTCAAGCCAGCTATAAGTTCAAGATAAAATACACAATATGAAGGGAACATGCAAGTTAATTTTGGCATTCACCAAAACATGCAGTGAAATAAGTTCTTGCTTAACATACCCTTGCCAACCAACCCACATATCACTTGATAGTTAAAATCCAAATTCCAACATACCAAATGCAAACCACAAGTTGAATGAATAGTTAACTTGAGACCAAGAGAGAACCCCATGCATGATGCATCAATGCACTTACAAACTGGAATACAGATCAGCCCATCTAAGGTTAAACCATACAGCAGAAATTACTGTTCTTATTTCTAGTATGAGAGTATTTCATACTTTTCACCTGCTTTTCGAGTAGTAAATAAGCAACAAAACAATCAAACGGTAGTCCTAAAATTCTCAATTTGCAAAGTTCACCTGAGAGGACCACAAGATTGAAGCCCCTTTCCCCACAAAATGAAGTACAGAGCCGTTATACCACCATTTATCACAGAAGGCACTACCTGTAAGAATAAGATGCTAAACAACATAAGATCAAGAAATTTCACATTCCTATCTTGGATTCTTTTGAAGAGGAAAAAATTATATAAAATGAAAATTGGAATAAATCATTAAGACCTGAGCATTAGAAAGTGGTCTGCCCCTCCAGGGCTTCTGTAAAAGTAGAAATAGAATGGATGAAGGTACAAGACAGCTGAAGATAAACAATACAACTGAAGCCCCCGTCTGAGTCAAATAGCGGTACATAGAGTAGATTGACCATATTCTCATGAAGTTACCAATTATATGTATTATCTGCAAGGGGGTTCGCCTACATTCAAACAACATTATAAAATCAATCAACAAAGACTAAGGAAAAGAAATCAACTCTGGTACTTCTTACGATAAGTTTGTACACATTTACAAAGATTATTCGTCTGTGCTATATATCACTGCTTTGTATAATTGGAGACAACTTTAGAGGAGAATTTTGTCTTTGCATTCAATCTCTTAATGACTATTGATGTTCATCACCCACTTCAAAACAACTCTCCCCACCACATTAAGAAATCTAAAAAAACATCTACGTTTTTCCCATATTGTTTCTAACTCCGTCATGTTAATAGTAAAAACTACGTTCCTAAATGTAAATATCTAAAGACATCATTTTCCAATTGCAAATTCGTCGGCATTCCATATTGTAACTAGTCTCTTACAATTCATAGACTTACCAATTGACATGTGTGCCTCATGCACTCTTGACACCTACCCAGATAATTGACTATCCATATCTATGTGGCAGACTTACTAAGCGCGCAGAGGTAATTTTAGTATATAGAAACTGAATATCTTTATGTGTATGCCGTCGTCTATCAATAGATTCAGCAGCTAAACATCCCTAAAGGTATTTCAAAATTAAACCAACCACTTAAAATACACAACTCGTTTACAGCATTAAAGAATCAGAAAACTAAATCGAAGTTGTTCAAAACTAACCACTTATCATGTAATTCCTAAGTACAACAAGTGTGCATATTAATGGATCTGGAAACCATATTTAGGCCAATAAATCTACATTTCACTATGTCTCTTATTTACTTCGAAAATGAGAAGTCGGTTTTTAAATTTTCATATTTTAGTACAACTGAAACAGAAAATTCTGGAAATCGATCAATTTAGTCAGCTAAAAACCACACAAAAAAAATAATAATAGTAGTAATAATACAAAGATGCAGCGTAAATAATATACAAATTATACAATCATGAAGAATATAACTAAAAATATATATATTCTCTATAAACACAGAGTCATGAATGGAACTGGACTCACCTGATAGTGGTGGAATGAGAACTCCCCCGAGTTTCCGGAAATTGATTTGGGGACATCATTTGTATCTACTTCTATTTTTTATTTTTTTATGAAATTCTACGAACATTAAAAAAAATGAAAAAACAAGTTTGATCTCTGCAAAATTACAGTTCACCAGAAAATGGGGATTGAAGAAGAAAACAAAATGCAAGTCAATTAGAGAAAAAAAATTCACTTGCTTGCAAGAGTGGAAACGGAGAATTGAATCCTTCGAGGACGGAGGAACAACAGAAGAAGAAGAAGAAGAATGTATTGGGCTCTAAACGGGTGGGTTTTGAGATGGATCTATAATGGGGTTTAAATTGGATTGGATTAAAGTCTTGGGCCTTATGGTCAAAGGTTGAACCGTTGTGGTCAAGGTATTGGGTTAGGCTTGTTGGTGGAATTCGACCGGGGATAGCTCCTACTCTTCTTTGTGGCCGATGATTTGACTTGTAAATGTGCGCTTATTGTGATCACCTTTTTAGTGGTTGTGGTCCGCGTTTGGTTTCGACCGTGGTTTGTTTTAATGTAATACATAGGGATGACAACGTAATAAGATCAAAGCCATCATTACTATTTCCGGCATATCGGAATTCTTGGAATACTCCGTAGAGGCGAGGATTAAAAATTTTCATTTATAGTCTAACTTAAGCAACGAATTAAATTGAATAACAAAAAAGATTTAGAGCAGGGATCATGTTTCCCGTTTATCCCTAGTAACACAACATGTTATGCCCCTGTTTGATGAAAATTAAAATTAAAATTTTACTTTTTGTTAAAGTCAACCTTTAATTTTAGTCGTACAATTCATGGGGCCACACTTGTCAACCACATATTTTGTTCATTTTTATTAAAATCTACTAAAAATTTAATTTTAATCTTCTATCAAACAGTGGCCATATCATATCTTCTCTTATAAGAGTCTCTTTGAGTTTATTATTCATTTTTATAGCCTTAGATTTCACACAACTGTAATAAAATTGGTTTGTAGTGCCTTTTGCTATTTTCAACTTTTTAGCCCACCTTTTTTGACTATTTAGTAAGATATTATCTTTTACATTTCGTTTTCTCCAAACCATCTGCACATTTTCGCTGACTCTATCAATCAAATCCGCATCTCTCTTATACTTCTCCAGTTTCATTCTGTGTTGAAAATTCAAAACAAAAACATTAAACTCCCAAACAATTATTCATAAAAAAAGAGTTAACGATAGAATAATTGCAACGACAACGAGGACGAGCAAGGTACGAATTGTTTGACCCAATTCTTTTACGCAAATTCCTAGAAATTATGAAAAGAAAGTTGGGAGTTTTTTCTGCTGGTTTTCACATGATTAATTTGGTTTTCGATGTAATTTTTATTTGTTTTAGATCTATAGTGGAAAACAAATGGTTTTATGCTTATTTGATTTAATGGAATCTGATTTTAGTTTTAAAAAAAAGCAAACTTTTTTGTTATTAAATTCAAAAGAAAAGAAATTCATATTTGGCTTTAATGATGTGGTGCTCAGTTGAATTTTCTTTTTAGGGTTTTTATAGATCGATTTTCTTAAAATCCATCTTCATTTGCTGAATATTTTGAAACATTATTTCGAAAAATATAACATACAGTTAATTGTTTTAGATCAGATAATGGAAAACAAATCGTTTTTATGCGTGTATGGATGTTATGTTTTTAACTTTCCTTTTTATTTATTTATTTATTTTTTGTTTGTGATATTGCTAAATCTATTTTCTTGAAGTTAAGGCTTCAACTTGAGACCTTTTTTGAGTGCTGCGATTTTTGTTAGGTAAGGTTTTATTTTTGGGAATTTTAGGATTTCATTTGTTTTTGGGGATTTTGGGTAAATCATTTTAAGGATCTTTTATTTATAGACCTAATGTTTTTTTTTTTTTTTACTTTAAGGCTACTAGAATTTTTAGTACCGAGGTCAACTCTCAAGCCCTCTCTCTTCTAGTCCTCTTCTTGCCTTTCTCTTTCATTTCCAACCCAACCACTCTAAGGCACACCCAAGCGTTGCTACCCAACCATAATCTACTATTTTTTTTAGATATTCTTACCAACTATGATCGAGGCAACAATGATTTCATGGAATACTTTCAACTTCCTGTGATTAGACACACGATTATCAAACTTAGTACCATCATGTTGTGCGCATCCCTTAACAAACTTGGAAAAGGAAATGACTAAAATGTGAAAGGAGTATACATTAGATAAAATATATGGAATCGTAGAATTGCAAAAGTAGTAATACTTACTTATAATAATGCAAAGTGATTGACTCTTTTATATAATAATAACAACAAGAATAATAATAATAAGACCCTAGAAATTCCCTAAGACTCATTCAATCTGGTTAGCATAATTGTTGTATATTTTGCTAATGTGAGAGTGCAAAAGAACTTTAATGATAGTAGATATCATTGAGTATCAAGTATCTTCTTCATCAACAAAAAATGCAGTAGTCATTTTGAAGGATGAAATCTCTCATGGTAGGAAGAAGTTGGCAATGAGAAATGATATAAGGTACTAAGAATGGATTGAGGAGAAGGAATAGTGAGAAATGCTGGTTACCTAAAATAAGATTTCCATATTGAAAATATTAAACAGAAACATAAAAAAATGTAAACTCCATAGATATCTGACTCCATTCTCCTTTAATATTGAAGATATTTTTTTCGGCTTCTACATTTGAAGGCTTAAACTGGCTTCATAATTGGAACAAGTTATGATTCAATCTAGATTTCAATTCAATTTTTTACAAATTATGATTCCTAATTGTTCCATTTAATTCAAAAACAGCATGAGAGTTTATTAGGAAATGAGGTTTTATAAATGCATTTCACTGCTGCATCATATTTGTCAACTGATCATTATTTTCAATTAAAATAATCATATGTTCAATATATATATATATATATATATAAAAGAAAAATCAACTCATTTTTTTACTTACAAGTTACCTTTCATGAATTTTTGTTCGAAAAATACAATCAAAGGGAGAAAACTTACAATTTCTATTAACTAGAATTTTAGGCTCATTTCATTTAAGCACAGCAAATCATCTATACAAATGGGTTATTCTTCCTCTTCCAATGTGTACATATAGTGTGAAATGTATGTACATTACTTAAATATTTATATATGCATATATACTACTCACTTCAGCTTGACAATTTTTGTTAATTTTGCAGTCGTTTGTTGTTGTGGTAGAATTTCTATATTTTTATTTTATGTATGTTAGACGATTGTATATTTTTCTCCTATAGGGATCGAAGAACAAATGTAGAGAATTTGAGATTAATTGTAAAATTGTGATGTATTGTTGTATAGAATTTATTTTGTCAAAATAAATAAATTATAATTTTTGTGTAATATATATTTGTGATTTATTATTCAAATACATGTATCTCATGTGTTTTTTATTATGTTGTATTTATGGTTAGTTTAGTACTAGGTACGAGCATTTTGTTCTCCCTATGGATTCTTCGGAACCATCTGCAAATCAATTGCCTAGTTTTTGTAACATTGAAAGCGTTCACGAAAGCACAAGTGAATCATATAATGGGTTCATTCGTCAACAAAAATGTCAAAGACAGACAGACAGACAGGAGGAATCAAAGCCAAACTGTGCGCATTTACCGTCCCGGAAGAGTAAGTGATCCTAGAGTATCTGAAAATCATAATCTAGGTGCTACTCAAGTTGATCAACATATAATACATTTTAAATCTGAGCCTTCTACTTCGAATGAAAAATCAAGAAATTTTCATCTTTCCGAACTACGAGGAAGTGTTAATTTGTTAAATATATCAACTACTGCATATGCATTGCCGACATACAGTTATTGTAAATATTGTGGTGCACGTAAATTCTATAGGGAAAGTAAAGATTTTTGTTACTCTGATGGAAAAGTTAAAGTATTTATACCAGATTCGCCAACTGAATTATATGATTTATTTACTTCTAAAGAGACTACATGTATAGAATTCAAAAAGTTGTCACGTGGATATAAGAATCACTTTGCGTTCACTTCATTTGGTGTGAAGTGTGATAAAAAAAACTTTTTCAAACATATAAAGGTATTTGCGCATTTAGAATTCAAGGACAAGTATATCTTTATATAAATAAATTTATGTCAGAAAATAATATGTCTTTTTATATACAGTTATATTTTTATGATACGGAAAATGAGCTTGAAAATCGTATGAAAATTTTAGAAAATTTAGTTGAATCCACTATGATTATTTGAATTGAAATCTTGAAAGTAAAACCATATAGTAAATTCTTTAGGTTTTTAAATGATATGACGAACCTGCACAGTCATTGTATACAAATAAGATGTGACCCAGGAATTGATCAGAGAGTTTTTAATACTCCTTCAGAGTCTCAAGTAGCTGCTGTATGGATTGAGGATAATGAAAATACAAATACTCGTGTTCATGACATTATTATATGTGGTCATTCTGGTGATTCTCATAGAGTTCATTATTATTATGGTTGGTATGATCCTTTGCAATATCATTTGATTTTTCCATTAGGAGAATCTACTGGCATGAAGGCATACAAAGATGCAAAAACATAAATGTTCAGCCTCATAATTTGGTCGATTGTGTTGCGGTTCCTAACACAATAAATTCTGAAATTTAAATTATTGAAAAAGAGGCTGCAGGTTTGTTCATATAATTTTTCATACAGTTTCTCATTTTTACAATGTCACTGTTGTTACTGAATATGAATTTTTTCCTATTTTTCTCATGCAGTGTTTAATGGAACAAATAAACGATCTCAAGTTTCTTGTCGCGAATACTATTCAGACAAGTTACAAATTAGGCATTATGGTAAGTTTGTATTACTTCACATCGTAGACTTTTTCAACAGTATGTTGTAGATATGTACGTTAAGATTGAAACTGCCAGGTTAGATTATTTTCAAAAGAATCAGAAACAAATTCGTGCTGAACTCTATCAAGGTATTGTGGATAGTGTTCAAAATGGAGAAACAAGAGAGTACAAGATTGGAAAGAAATTTGTTTTACCACAATATTTTACATGTGGTCCTAGAGATATGCTAAGAAGATACTTAGATGCGATGGCTATTATTCAACGTCTTGGAAAATTAGATATATTTTTAATTATAACATGCAATCCAAATTGGTCTAAAATTAGGCAAGAACTAAAATATAATGATGAAGTTCAAACTCGACCAAATTTAATTGCACGTATATTTAGAGCAAAACTAGAGGAGTTAAAAAATAATTTATGTAAATAAAATATCTTAGGTCATGTTGTTGCTCATATATAAATGGTTGAATTACAAAAAAGAGGACTCCCTCATGCGCATTTGTTGTTGATTTTTAATTGTGCCCATAAAATTGTATGTGCTGAACAAGTTGACAAAATAGTATCTTGTGAAATTCCTGATGAAAATAAGTATTATCATCATCGTTCTGTTATTGTAAAACATAATATGCATAGTCCATGTGGAAACCTTAATCCAAAGAATGTATGTATGCTAAAAAATATTGGTTGTAAAAATAAATATCCTAGAGATTACTGTAACACTACTATATTTGGTGATAATTCATATCCATTGTACAGACGTCGTAATGATGGTATTTTTATTAAACTTAGAGGCCACATGTTAGACAATCGATGGGTTGTTCCATATAATTCTTATTTAAATACAAAATTTGACTGTTAGATTAACGTTGAAGTATGTTCATCTATTAAAGCTGTAAAATTTTTGTACAAATACGTATATAAAGGACATGATCGCATTAATTTTTTTGTTGGCAAAAATGAAAATATGGAAGTTGATAAATTTTCTGCTTATCAATCTGCTAGATGGATATCTCCACCTGAAACTATGTGCAGAATTTTTTTCTTTCAACTTATCAGAAATTTATCCGATTGTTTATTCTTTACAACTCCACATTAAAGATCATCAACAAGTAAGATACACCGATAAAGATGATTTATGTAGTATTATTAACAATGACAATACGAGAAGAACTATGTTAACTGAATTTTTTTGAATAAATAGAATAAACAAATTTGCTCGAACATTGTTGTTTAAAGATTTTCCAGCACATTTTGTCTGGAATGCATATAAGAAAATTTGGACTCCTAGAAAGCAACAGTTTGTTATAGGACAAATTGTCACCACGAATCCAAGTAAAGGAGAGAGACATTTTCTTCTTCTTAATCACATTAAAGGGCCAAAACCATTTAATGATTTAAAACTTTGAATGGGGTAACTTATGCTACATATCGAGAAGTAGCACTTTCACATGGTTTTTTAAAGGGAGACAATCATTGTGAAGACTATTTATTTGAGGCTATTTTATATGAAATGTCTGGTTCTTTAAGACGTCTTTTTGCTACAATGCTTAGCTTTGTAATCCTGATCATCCAAAATTATTGTGGAATAAATTTAAAACCTACATGATTGACGATTATGTACATCAAAATATATCTTTGAAAATTGCTGAAGTGCGAGCTTTGGAAGATATCAGTTCAATTTTAGAACCTATAGGTAAAGACATCAATGACTATGGAATAGTGCCATTTCCTGTAGCTATAGATGAGGCTGAGAGATTGAATCGAATGGTTGCAGAAGAAACGATGAATTTTAATGTTGAAGGGGGCCTTGCTTGTGCGATAATGTTAAATAAAACAACAAATTGCATACTATCAATAATGGAAAAAGTAAAAATTGAATCAAGTAGTGTTTTCTTCATTGATGGTCCAGGGGGGACAGGTAAGACTTTTTTATACAAAGTACTTCTAGCTGGCGTAAGATCTCAAAATTTAATTGCTTTAACAAAAGCGTCATGTGGAGTATCTGCATCTCTTTCACTCGAAGGTCGAATGGTTCATTCAAGATTTAAAATTCCTTTAGAAATAGCTAGTGAAATTAGCTGCTCTATTAGTAAACAATTGACTTTGGGAACTTTGTTAAAAATGTGTAAGTTAATAATTTGGGATGAAACACCCATGGTAAACCGTCGTGCTATTGAAGCTGTGGAGAAAATGCTTAGAGATGTTGCTAATTGTGACTTGCCTTTTGGTGGGAAAGTCAGAATTCTTGGAGGAGATTTTCAACAAGTTTTACCAGTAGTACCAAGAGGGAAAAAAGAAGATATAATGAAAGATAGCTTAGTTTTCTCAAATTTATGGTCTTTATATTAACAGCTACCTTTGGTTGAAAATATGAGAGCAAAATTAGATCATGTGTTTTGTGATTACTTACTTAGGATTGGAGATGGAACAGAAAAAGAACACAGTTGTGATTGTATTCAACTTCTAAACAGTATAATTTTACCGTTCGAAAATGAGATTACATCTTTAAAAAATTTGATAGATCATGTTTTTTTCTAAATATAGAAGCATATGTTGATAATTTACATGACATGATGAATAGAGTTATTCTTACTCCTAAAAATGAATGTGTTGACTATATTAACAGAATTTTGCTCGCTCAAATTCCTGGTGAAATTTTTACATATTATAGTTTTGATGAAGCAATTGACAAATCAGAACATAGCTTACAAGAAGATTTTTTGAACAGTTTGACACCAAATGATATTCCACCACATAAATTGAAACTTAAGGTAAATTGTCCAGTAATGTTATTGCGAAATATCAATCCTTCTGAAGGTTTATGCAATGGGACACGCCTTACTTGTCGAAAGTTTAATAGAAATGTAATTTTGGCAAAAATCACAACTAGTGAATATTGTGAAAAATACGTGTTCTTACCAAGGATCCTCTTTATACCTCTTCAGAATGATCAAAATTCAATTCAATTTAGGAGGACTCAATTCCCAATTAGGCATTGCTTTGCAATGACAATAAAAAAAGCATAAGGTCAAATCATAGATTTTGTTGGTTTATACCTTTCAGAACCAGTTTTTTACCATGGACAACTATGTGTAGCATCATCGAGAGCAAAAACAAGTAAATTTTTGAAAGTTTTACTCAAATTGTCAAATACGAACAATTTACACAACGCATGCACTAAGAATGCAGTGTACAAAGAAATTCTTTCATTTATACATTCATAAAACTACAATCTTTTCATAGGTATGTGTTTACTTTTGTTTTCAAATTCATTACAGTTTATTATTATCCATTAGTTTCATTGTTTTTATATGAGTTGTAAAGATTAAACATCTAGATTTTACATCTTTTATTAATTGGTTTCAAATCTGCATTTAATTCAAGAGGGTTAACTAAACATTTAGTGTCATTTATACAAATTACTTTCGTTTGATACGCTTCACTTTTATGTTGCTTTTTTCTCCTTTCTTTATTAGTTTTTACTACAGTTTCAACCACTATATGTTTTTTTTCTTTATTGTTTACTTAAGGATGGAAACTTTTTCCTACAATAACAGGTGGTTGTTGACGTGCATTTCCATCTCTATACCAGCAAACATGGCATCCATCAAATATAGTTTATATTTGTACGGTGAAGGATGCAGAAAGATTGATTTTAATGAGCTTCTTAACAAGTTTAATCATATTCCTTTCTTTTTATTCCTGGTAATGGTGGAAGTTAAAAACATAGAAGTCCCTTCTTATTTATTTATAATTATCAAGCATATTTTGGGATGATTTCTTAGGATTAATAGTAAACTAAAGTTGGTCATAAGCTTAATCATGCTCATTAAAAGAAATTGGGCAATTAGCCATCCAATAGTTCGTCTACTTTTGTTCGTGTCTTCGTATCTCTTATCGTGATAAATGTTAAAATTATATTACTATCTATATTTATTGGTGAATATGACACTTTTGTTAAGAAGATTTTTTCTGAATAGGTAGAGCGAACAATTTGCTCAATACATAGTGTCGGTGATTTTGTATTATTAAAACATTCTTATATGATGATGTGATGCTGTATGGGTTATGAATTTTTATATAATTCTCAAGTTATATGATAATGATGAAAGCAAATGCTTTATTTGTAAATTGATTAAAAATGCTTAAAATTTAAATTGATATTCGCTAACTGAGTATTTATTGTTTTACTACTTTTCCCTTATTGATTAGGTGATATCACTAGCTGCAGAATGTAATAGAGCTTATAAAAAAGACATACTGTTATGTAGCCTACTATGATGATTTAAATTGCTTAAAATTAATTCTTTCTGCTACTCATTTGACTTCGATTGCACAGTCTTGGTAACTACTTCTTCCCGATGTTGTCTTATATTAATATATACACCAATGTTTGTCTATTCAAAACAATAAGCTAATTATCGTCCTCAAATGAGAGGTCAGGGCATTTTTCAAATTTGTTAGTATAAGAGATGAAAGTGTTGCAACTCCTAAAAGAATTACATCCACAAAAGGTACGTTTTTTACTTTTCACACGCTTCTTTGATCTCTTTTCATTCAAGAATATTTGAAAATCTTCTTATGTTCTCCCGTTTCACGAATTTTTAGATTTTTTACCGTTTGATTTTATCGCTCCATCGATTTCTTTTGTTGAAAAGTACTGACGGCTGCGGCTTTTTTAAGTTCTGTTTTGTAGAGTTTTGAGAAATTAATTCATTCCGAGAGGAAAAGTATGAATTTTGTTTGTGGATTTAGAGGATTATGCTTTACTATATTTCGAATAGTCCAACATGCACAAAACCAAATGTAAAAACGGTGAATTTTCTAGGGTTCGGGCTATTATTGCAAATCCCTCTAAGTTAGTAATTGTAATGTTGATGTATTTAAATAATAAAATTTCAATGAGTTTATTTTTTTAATAAAATTTAGTTTATAGTAAAATCATTTTACCAGAACTTGTGCCTAAGAACTCAAGAAAGAGAATTGACTGGTAAGCTTTCTTATTTGCATTACATTATTATTCATAATACTTGACTTGTGTTTCAAAGTTTTGTATTTGTTAACATATGTTTTCCATATTTAAAATATCGCATGCTCATGTTGTTGAAACTTTTGATATACCATTGCATATCTTCATAATGCCTTGGATGTCAGTTT